CACATTTATTATATTAACAGAATTTAAAATATTGCACTGCGTTCTCAGCATAGAATGGACCTTCCTCTCCCTCGGGTAAAAGGCGACTAAGAAAACTTAATGGTTTACAGATAGGCAGTAACATCCCTCTTAAAACATCACTAAAACCTAACTGCGATTGTCGACCTATCTGCTAAACCTGGCAACTACTCGCAAAAAATAATTTTTGATAAATATTTAGTCTTTCTTTTCATTTAAGAGTTTCCTCTTGTCGGTGCAACTAATTCATGCATCTTCCTCCAGCCAGCTCTATCCCATATCTATCCTTTATTTCCCTATACGACATGACGCCTAGTGTTTCCTTTATCTGTCCCATGTAGTTATTCCTCGGTCTTCCTCTTCCTCTTTTGCCCTCTATCTTTCCTTCTACTATGCTCTTAAAAAAATCGTCATGTCGTATAAGGTGGCCCAGCATTTTGCCTCTTTTATTCTTTTCTTCTTAATTAACAATTAATTAATTATTTGGTACTCACTAATAATTCAATTTTTAATTTTGATAAATATTACAAAATCAAAAATCATAGGTTCTGAATTGGCGCAAAAACATTACACTTCTATCCTCAAAAGTTTTAACATAAAATACACCATTTTGAATAAAAAGTTATACTTAAATATAAAACACACAGTCTGGTGCGGAGCGAGGTGCCTCTCATGAGTCCGATTCCACCACGTTCCACGGGTAGACGTCGTGTTTGGCACTACAGGTCAGCAGACTGGGATGAGATGCGGATTTTTTTCGCATCTTACCCATGGAGGCAGGTTTGCTTCACACTGGATGATCCCGACGCCATTGCCGATTCCATTGCTGATGTGGTGCTTCAGGGAATGGAATTATTTATTCCTAACTCTGTGGTGCCCGTCGGCGGGAAATCCCAGCCCTGGTATGGAGCCTCTTGTAGAACAGCATCTCGTCTGAAACAGGAGTGCTTCCTAGCCTGGGCTAAAGGTGTGGCGTCGCGAGATCCTAACACCAGTGCTCTTAAAAAGAAGTATAACTCTGCCTCTAGGTCTTTCAAAAGAGTTATAGCCACAGCGAAGTCAGAGCATATTAGTAGAATTGGCAAGAGATTGGCTAGTTTGCCCTCTGAAACTCGAGCTTTCTGGTCTCTTGCCAAAGCTGCACAAGGGAATTTCTGTAAGTCATCTTTTCCACCATTGCGCAGGGAGGATGACTCGTTGGCCCAGAACGCTAAGGAAAAGGCCGATCTTCTTGGATCCATCTTTGCGTCAAACTCGACATTGGATGACGGGGAGAAATCACCACCGACCATCACGTGTTGTAGGAGCTCTATGCCTGACATTAAATTCACGCATAGCTCAGTGCGTAGAGCACTTTTCTCCCTCGAAATCCATAAGTCGAGTGGGCCCGATGGTATTCCTCCAATTGTGCTTAGGACGTGCGCACCAGAGTTGGCTCCGGTTCTTACGCGTCTTTTTCGGCTTAGCTACTCATCGGGCATAGTCCCAAAGTTTTGGAAGACTGCTCTGGTGCATCCGATCCCTAAAAAGGGAGATCGCTCAGATCCAGCTAACTATAGGCCCATAGCTATCACTTCCTTATTCTCGAAGGTTATGGAATCCATCATTAACCGTCAACTGCTCCGGTACCTAGAAGAGCACCGGCTGATCTGTGATCGCCAGTACGGCTTTCGACAGGGACGTTCGGCCGGTGATCTTTTAGCTTACTTAACACACCGATGGGCAGTGGCAATCGAGAGTAAGGGAGAGGCCTTAGCAGTTAGTCTGGATATCGCGAAGGCCTTTGATCGGGTGTGGCATAGAGCGCTGCTTTCAAAGCTACCTTCATTTGGGTTGCCTGCGAGACTGTGCATTTGGGTCGCCAGTTTTCTCAAGGAACGTAGCATTAAGGTCGTAGTCGACGGAGCATGCTCTGATTTAAAACCTTTGAATGCTGGTGTCCCGCAAGGCTGTGTACTATCTCCGACTCTGTTTCTTCTGCATATCAATGATATGTTACAGATAAGTAATATTCATTGCTATGCAGACGACAGTACAGGAGATACATTTATACCGGTCATGCAAAGATCTCGCGGGCACATACCGATGAGTGCCGGAATAGACTTGTGTCTGAAATCGAAACTTCACTCCATCAAGTTTCGATCTGGGGTGAACAAAATCTTGTCCAATTTAACCCCAAAAAGACACAAGTCTGCGCGTTTACCGCAAAAAAGACGCCGTTTGTCGTATCTCCTCACTTTCAGGGCACTTCCCTTGATAAAAAGTCGAGTCTAGGAATTCTGGGCGTTGATATATCTTGCGACGTCCAGTTTTGCGGTCATCTGGAGGAGAAGGCTAAGATAGCTTCCAAAAAGTTAGGAGTGCTCAATAGGGTGAGACGATATTTCATGCCAGAACACCGCCTGAAATTATATAAAGCCCAAGTCAGGCCGCATATGGAATACTGTTCTCACCTGTGGGCAGGAGCGCCACAGTACCAACTCCTTCCGTTAGACCGCATTCAGAGTCGGGCGACTCGAATTATCGATAGTCAACGCCTTACTGTCCGACTTGATCCACTGAAACTGCGCAGAGATGTTGCATCTCTGTGCATCTTCTACCGAATTTATCATGGGGAGTGTTCTGAGGAATTGTTCGGATTGATACCTGCTGCTGATTTTCACCACCGTACAACCCGCCACAAACTAAAGTTTCATCCCAATCATCTGGACGAGTGGCGGTCTTCCACCGTGCGTTTTTCAAGGCACTTTCTTCCACGCACAACCATTCTTTGGAATCAACTTCCAGCAGCAGTATTTCCGAACCGATACGACAACATAACCTTCAAGAAAAGAGTATATTCCTTTTTAAAAGGCCGGCAGCACACCTGCAATGCCGCTGGTGTTGTGGGTGATCATGGGCGGCGGTAGTCACTTACCATCAGGTGAGCCGCATGCTCGTTTGCCCCCTGTGTTGTAAAAAAAAAAAAAAAAAAAAACCATTGTATTGATAAATTAATTTACCAAGTCTTTTTTTTTTTTGATGAGTGAAAATGGTGTGGCAACCACGCTTGCGCTAACGGGATACGCTGGCGGAGCACCAGTGAAAGGTGATAGATGAGAATGAAAACAGGCCAGTTAGCCCATCATGATGAATTCATCAGGAATTAACCATGATAGTTTCCAGGGGAACCGCGAGGAGGTCAACCTGGTTGGGTATATTGCTAGTAATGGGATTCTCAGTCTCCATTACTAACAATCCCTTTCCCCCAATTTACCAAGTCGACTGCCCTGTCCTGACTCTGTTTTAATGAACCGAAGGCTTCGCATTAAATAAGTGAATAAATAATCATTATTCATTGAGTTAAAATGAATTACACTGAACTGGTGAATGTTGAGGTTCTTTGTTTGCTTTGTGAATAGAATGCCAATACTATTATTGATAATACTCAGCGTTCCGACGCGTGTTTGTAATGCAAATCGCAGTCATTAATAATCAATATCAATGGTCAATTATATCATCAATGTATATTAATCGCTGTAAATTATGCTAACAACTTTAAAATACATAATCATCATCTTCCTACCCTTATCCCAATCATTTGGGGTCGGCGTAATATGGTTTTATCCATATTACAAAAAGATTTGGTTTTTAGTTTTACGACCGGCCACCTGCCCGTCAACCCTCTTTGACGTCAACAACTTTAAAATACATATTATATATATATATATATTACTAGAGGGAGACTTTGTACAAAAGTCGATTGCTTGGGTACCTCTGTCCCATACGTGTTTCAACCGTGAACCAGTTGTGTTTGCATGGCTGCGTTTCGGTTTGAAGGGTGGGATATGGCGTGAATTTACTGGGTACAGAGGAATAACACCTGAGTCCTCAGGAATGGCAACGCACGTTATGTACATGGTACTGCACATGCCTATAGGCGACGGTTACCACTTTCCATCAGGTGGGCCGTCAGCTTGTTTGCCATTCTAAGTTGTATAAAAAAAAAATCTAAAAAAATTCAACAAGAATTAGTAACCCCTTCTTTTAGAAATCGGTTGAAAATTACTCTTTTGAATCACTCAAAAACCTTTATAACATACCCACATTTAAAATAATAATAAAAAAAAATCAATAGTTTCGTTCTATAACTTGTAGACGTAAAATTTTCTAGACAAAAGTAATTATTCAGCCAGGTTATTACTATCACGAACATAATAAAGCTTTGGAAAATTAATTTGAATACGGTCTGAATACTAAAGAATGCAAATGAATACGTCCCTACCAAGTGGCGAGTTAAAAATTTAATCGAAAAAACTACAAATATGATAGCTCGATTTAATTGGCTTCCTATTCACACAGAGTAATTTTCTTTGCGTTCAAATTGCTATACAATTACCAGAACAACAATAGAGCTAAGAAAAAGAATTATAATTAAAGTCCAAGTTAAATTTAATTGCTAAAGAAGTAAATTAGTTCGTAGTTTTTTTTTTATTATTATATCTACCGTTAACCGTCCACAGCTGGACATAGGACTTTCCTATAAAGGGAAGTTTTAACAGTAGTTGCCACGTTTGGCAGGCGGGTTGGCAACCGCAGTTAGGCTTTGGTGATATTTTAAACAGATATACTTTTCATGTTATCTTTTTTGAATTTTTTTTATACCACTATGGTGGCAAACAAGCATACGGCCCACCTGATGGTAAGTGGTTACCGTAGCCTATGAACACCTGCAATACCAGAGGTATTACGCGTGCGTCGCCGACCCTGAAGAAACCTCTTTACCCCCTTTTGAAGGACCCTGAACTTTTATAATATTTTAAAGTCATTTCAAATTTAGTGCATTACAGGGAGTCAGTGCATGCAGGTGGCTCAATACCGTTCTTTAATGACGGTCAATGAGGAAGGCCTATGTTCAGCAGCGGACGGATAATGACTATGTTGATGATGATAATGATTTCATATTATAACATTAAGAAAAAAAATTATTCAAATTGTTGCAGGAAGAAAACATAGCTCTCCGACTAATCAAGCAGCACCCAGAAGAAGAAGTGGAGAGCAGCTCAGCGTCTCCGGAGGACGCGTATGGGACGGGCAGCACGGGGCGGACGTACTTCGACGAGGGGGGCTACGTGGCTGGAGGGGCTAAGGACGCGGACCCTTACATGAGGAACCGATTCAACCAGGCTGCGTCAGATACGTTACATAGTAACAGAGCTATACCTGACACCAGGAATGCCATGTAAGTTACAGATGTTTAAATAACTAGTTCTTACTAGAGGGGAAGGGATTGTTAGTAATGGGGAGGTTGGTCCTCATTGCTAGCAAGATACCTTATCAGGTCGACCTTTTTTTTTTTTTTTTTTTTTTTTACAACACAGGGGGCAAACGAGCATGCGGCTCACCTGATGGTAAGTGACTACCGCCGCCCATGATCACCCACAACACCAGCGGCATTGCAGGTGTGCTGCCGGCCTTTTAAAAAGGAATATACTCTTTTCTTGAAGGTTATGTTGTCGTATCGGTTCGGAAATACTGCTGCTGGAAGTTGATTCCAAAGAATGGTTGTGCGTGGAAGAAAGTGCCTTGAAAAACGCACGGTGGAAGACCGCCACTCGTCCAGATGATTGGGATGAAACTTTAGTTTGTGGCGGGTTGTACGGTGGTGAAAATCAGCAGCAGGTATCAATCCGAACAATTCCTCAGAACACTCCCCATGATAAATTCGGTAGAAGATGCACAGAGACGCAACATCTCTGCGCAGTTTCAATGGGTCAAGTCGGACAGTAAGGCGTTGACTATCGATAATTCGAGCCGCCCGACTTTGAATGCGGTCTAACGGAAGGAGTTGGTACTGTGGCGCTCCTGCCCACAGGTGAGAACAGTATTCCATATGCGGCCTGACTTGGGCTTTATATAATTTCAGGCGGTGTTCTGGCATGAAATATCGTCTCACCCTATTGAGCACTCCTAACTTTTTGGAAGCTATCTTAGCCTTCTCCTCCAGATGACCGCAAAACTGGACGTCGCAAGATATATCAACGCCCAGAATTCCTAGACTTGACTTTTTATCAAGGGAAGTGCCCTGAAAGTGAGGAGATACGACAAACGGCGTCTTTTTTGCGGTAAACGCGCAGACTTGTGTCTTTTTTGGGTTAAATTGGACAAGATTTTGTTCACCCCAGATCGAAACTTGATGGAGTGAAGTTTCGATTTCAGACACAAGTCTATTCCGGCACTCATCGGTATGTGCCCGCGAGATCTTTGCATGACCGGTATATAATGTATCTCCTGTACTGTCGTCCGCATAGCAATGAATATTACTTATCTGTAACATATCATTGATATGCAGAAGAAACAGAGTCGGAGATAGTACACAGCCTTGCGGGACACCAGCATTCAAAGGTTTTAAATCAGAGCATGCACCGTCGACTACGACCTTAATGCTACGTTCCTTGAGAAAACTGGCGACCCAAATGCACAGTCTCGCAGGCAACCCAAATGAAGGTAGCTTTGAAAGCAGCGCTCTATGCCACACCCGATCAAAGGCCTTCGCAATATCCAGACTAACTGCTAAGGCCTCTCCCTTACTCTCGATTGCCACTGCCCATCGGTGTGTTAAGTAAGCTAAAAGATCACCGGCCGAACGTCCCTGTCGAAAGCCATACTGGCGATCACAGATCAGCCGGTGCTCTTCTAGGTACCGGAGCAGTTGACGGTTAATGATGGATTCCATAACCTTCGAGAATAAGGAAGTGATAGCTATGGGCCTATAGTTAGCTGGATCTGAGCGATCTCCCTTTTTAGGGATCGGATGCACCAGAGCAGTCTTCCAAAACTTTGGGACTATGCCCGATGAGTAGCTAAGCCGAAAAAGACGCGTAAGAACCGGAGCCAACTCTGGTGCGCACGTCCTAAGCACAATTGGAGGAATACCATCAGGCCCACTCGACTTATGGATTTCGAGAGAGAAAAGTGCTCTACGCACTGAGCTATGCGTGAATTTAATGTCAGGCATAGAGCTCCTACAACACGTGATGGTCGGTGGTGGTTTCTCCCCGTCATCCAATGTCGAGTTTGACGCAAAGATGGATCCAAGAAGATCGGCCTTTTCTTTAGCGTTCTGGGCCAACGAGTCATCCTCCCTGCGCAAAGGTGGAAAAGATGACTTACAGAAATTCCCTTGTGCAGCTTTGGCAAGAGACCAGAAAGCTCGAATCCCAGAGGGCAAACTAGCCAGTCTCTTGCCAATTCTACTAATATGCTCTGACTTCGCTGTGGCTATAACTCTTTTGAAAGACCTAGAGGCAGAGTTATACTTCTTTTTAAGAGCACTGGTGTTAGGATCTCGCGACGCCACACCTTTAGCCCAGGTTAGGAAGCACTCCTGTTTCAGACGAGATGCTGTTCTACAGGAGGCTCCATACCAGGGCTGGGATTTCCCGCCGACGGGCACCACAGAGTTAGGAATAAATAATTCCATTCCCTGAAGCACCACATCAGCAATGGAATCGGCAATGGCGTCGGGATCATCCAGTGTGAAGCAAACCTGCCTCCATGGGTAAGATGCGAAAAAAATCCGCATCTCATCCCAATCTGCCGACCTGTAGTGCCAAATGCGACGTCTACCCGTAGAACGAGGTGGAGTCGGACTCGTAAGAGGCACTTCGCTCCGCACCAAACAGTGATCCGACGATCCAAGCGGGGCTTCGACGGAGATCACATAGTTGTCTGGGTGGGTGGTCAGCAGAAGGTCCAGCAGTGAAGGTGAATGGTCCAACACATCAGGGATTCGCGTAGGCGAGGAAACAAGCTGTGTCAGACCATAAGCCAAAGCAAAGTCATGAACAGATCTTCCCGCATAGTCGGTTGTACGCGAACCAAGCCATTCGGCATGGTGGGCATTAAAGTCGCCAACAATCACGACTTCAGCGGAAGGAATCTGCTCAAGCAGGGAATCTGTAGCCATTTGGACGTGCTCAATTAGTTGGTCGGTTTCAGTGTTACCGCTGTGGGACCTGTATAGGCACGCATAGATGCGGGGATGGTCATTGCAATCTACGCGCAGCCATAGAATGGACAGGTCCGTACCTTCAAGAGTCCCAAGGCGTCGACAGCAGATATCCTCTCTGACATACGCACATACACCGGCACGCGAAACAAAACAATGTTCAAGCTTATACCCCGGGTAGGTCAGGTATGATGTTTCGTTAGGAGGGGATATCTGTGTCTCCGTGAGGAAGAGCAATGCCGGCCGCGCCGTTTCTAGGTGGTGGTGGACAGCGTTCAGGTTTGAATGAATTCCCCTAATATTACAGAGGCTCACATTGAGCAAAGGGGATGCCGCAGAAGTCTTGCTCTGTTTGCCCTTGGTCCCATAGAGCGGAATTTTGCCCCCCCAGAATACGCAGGGCAGCCCGAGCGTGGTTGCTCGAGGGAGGATTCTCCAGCAACATGGCTGCTGGTACCTCCCTGGGGTACGTTATTTTTTTTAAATTCCACTGCCATGGTATTGAAAGATGGGGGGACGGAGTTGGGGGAGGATTTTAGGATAAGGAAGGGGATGGGTATAGGATGGGCCTCCGGACTCCCTCACTCACCATACGGAATGTGGTCGCACTAAAAGTGCGGCCACTTAGCGTCGGTATTCTGTGAGGGTGTGGTACTTCCCCGGTCGAGCCGGCCCATTCATGCTGCAATACCATATGGTATTACAGCGTGGCTCTACCACCTATAAAACCTCCACGCGGTTTCCCCTGGAAACCATCGTAACTAATTTATCGTTGAGTTCGTCACGATGGACTAACTGGCCTGCCTTTTCATCATCACCTATCATCTCTCACTGGTGCCCTGCTAGTGTATACCGATAACGCAGGTGGGGTAACCATTCCATTATCATCCATTAAGAAAAACTTTTATCAAATGTTGGTGGGAAAGGGATTGTTAGTAATAGGATCTAACTACACCATTGCTTATAATTTAAATATATAATAAGATAGATAGATACTGTTTATTGTTTCCTCCAAAAGATTACAATAGTAAACTTATTATAAATATAAACAATTACAAGAAATAATCACAATTTGAAAACAATGGGTAATCTTATCGCTAAGAGCGATCTCTTGCAGGCAACCTTTGGATGGAGAGGAGTAATTATAAACAGTTTGGTGGGAGGCACGATGAAAAATAGTAAGAGTTGTACTGGTTTTCAACTAATACATCGATGAATTCGCCAAAAGCTGCCAATAGATAATCGATCTATGGATCATTAAAAATAAAACTGAGAAAAATATTATACCCATTTTAAACTATCGGTATAATAAGTGCATAGACATTTTTTAATAATTGTCAAGGCATATATTTCCCAAAGAAGGTTGACGTCAGGCAGGCGACCGGTCGAAAAACTATAAGCCAATTCTTTTTGTAATATGAATAAAAACATTACGCCGACTCCATATAATAATTGGGATAAGGGTAGGAAGATGATGATGATGTCAAGACATATATTTTTTTCATAGTAAATATTAAACATTCGAATGAGTTCGTGAAACTGTTCATTTAAACCTGAATTCTGCCATGAATCGATTTAAGACTTTCCGATTCCAATCGAGTCATTTTTTTTATGCAACTTAGAATGGCAAACAAGCTGACGGCCCACCTGGTGGAAAGTGGTAACCGTCGCCTATAGACATGAGCAGTACCATGAACATAACAGAGTATACTGTTTCGCCCATGATACCCCCATGTGTTGCCATTCCTGAGTAGTCAGATGTTATTCCTCTGTACCCAGTAAATTCACGCCATATCCCGCCCTTCAAACCGAAACACAGCCATGCAAACACAACTGCTTCACGGTTGAAACACGAATGGGACGATCAGATCAATATTTTTGTTCAATATCAGAAACCAGATATCTGATACGGAATATCAGATACGGAGTAGCCGTATCAAAGCTAGGGCAAAAGACACTGTCCGAACTACAAGCTCTGTAACAAGCCCAAGGCAGGTCACTCGCCACGCACCACACACCTGTTCATTACGTAAAGTCCACGTCCACGGTCAAACATACATATACAAACCAGAAGTCTGTTTGTCTATTCATATATTCAGTATATTAATACTCATAACCACAATAATCAACACTTTAATCTATTCCAATAGAATTTATTTATTTATTTATTTCTTATTGCATTCCATAATATAATTAGTAGATAACATTTCAATTATGTACCCTGTTGGGCACAGCGAGTACGAGAGAGGAGGACAACACTTCTTTCACTTTAGAAATAGTCTAAGGATCTGTTACAATATTATCCAGTCATTGATATTGTATCACGATATGTACGTACTTTCTTATTATTATTATTATTCATTATTTAAGTATTGCTGTGTATGTATTCATGTCGTAATTGTTATTAGTATTATATAGTTATTTAATATATTCTGTAGTTTATAATTATTTATATTCATATTGTAAAATTAATTAATAAATAGTTTAATTTTTTATGAAAAAAGAAATTAATGAGGCGCTAACCAAATTTTATGGGGGATTTAGAGTTGTTTCTTATCGTAGACGCCTATGTTCAGCGGTGGGCAGTTAACAGCTGATATAAAAACCAAATTTTGTTAAATTTATCACAGTAATACTTTTTAAACAAAATCTTGCTATGGTAATAAACTTAGACAACGTTTGGACGTAGAAGATATTTAAAAAGAATTGATCTCTTGTTAATAATGATAGCAATAAAAGCCAAAACAGTGTTAACAGTGTTACGGCACATAAAAATTACTACTTCAAATTAAATGCAGTTTTCATAGTTAAGTAATATGTTCCTGAAGGTCTAACTTAATCCAAAATCCACGCGCACGAAATTGCGGGCAGAAATTATTTACCAATAAATCTAAACATTTAATTAACTAATCAATTTTTTATTTGTACGAGTATTAGGTACTATTAGACATCAGCAGTGTTGCCTGATTGAGTATTTTTCTTTTTCGCTATTTTGGCTAAAAATATTTTAATCGCGGAATTTTGGAAAATTTGTTTTTTCGAAGAAATTTTTGGAGATGAGTGAAATGAATTTAAAGTAATTTGGATATTTTTTTGGAATTTTGATTATTAGCCTTAGTATTTGTAAACTTTGTGAATATACAAGTATATAAGGTACATAATTAAAAATATATGTTTGAAGATATATAACAAGATACGAGTACGATAAAAGAAAGAGAGGGAAAAGTAAAAACAGAATACACAATGATTTTTTTTTCGTCTTTCATTTTATGGCGCATGGCAAAAGGTATTGAAAAACGATACACGTTAATGATAGAGTTAAAATTCTGGAAATCGTATCGATTTAAAGAACAAATATTTGACATTTAGGTAAAAATCAAAATTCGCACCTGGCAACCTTACACCAACGCTTATGGTCGGCTCAGTTATGACTTTGTATACATTTTCATTTATTGATGATAAAAATAAATACATTCGCTATGAAAAACGTCACATTTGTAATGTTGTCGAAACCAGTCAATGTCAAGTGTTGTAACTAGTGGTACGACTCGATATAAATTGAATATTTTTTTTTATTTCATAGCAATGTTATTATTTAACTTTCAAGGATGGACACGGATATGGTCATCGATTACTTTACATCATCCAAGGTGTCTTACCTTTCAAAACACATTCCTATTGTGTTTTGAAATATTAAAGATTTATTTTTATTATGTTAATATCTTTTATTAGATTCTAAAAATGCTTTAAAATATGTAAATGATGTAAGTGGATCTTATGGTAACGATGCCGCAGACGAACTAGCTAGAAGAGGTTCAGGAACGAGGGTGGTAGGCCCGTATCCACTTGTCCCTCTTCCGTTCTCGTAATTTCGAATATGATTCGTCAAAGATCCGCTGACATACAAAACCAAAGATGGATACAGGCTACTGATTGCAGACAGTCAAAATTGGCCGTACCTACGTTGAATCAGCGACTATCAAAACATCAGATAGGAAAAACCTCAAAATAATGATAGGGACAATAATGGGCCATTTTCCATTAAACAAACATTATACACAATAGGAGCCACAGACAGCCCTCTATGTCGAGGCTGTTTCGACGCCGAAGAAACGGCTGCTCACGTAATCCTGGAGTGTGAAGCTGTGGCCCATTAACGTTTAGAAATCCTCGAAACGGTGAGGTCGCTCCGTGAGGTCTGTGAAGATCCCAGGAAGCTTCTGTGCTTCTGGACGGAGCTAGGTTGGCTGTACTAGCCACGACTCATACGCACAACGGCCCAAATTAGAGGCTAAGCGCGGAAAAGAGAGTCCAATTTACATTACATTACATGTAAATTATGTGTTCATCAAGGCTAGATGATAGATGTCAAGAAGAAAAGCAATTCAGGTAATGTAGATAGCAGTGATGGAAAAACAGTCATCATCATCATCATCATATCTGTCACGCCTGTCTCCCATTAGGGTAGGCAGAAACAATGGAACGCCAAATGCTTCGATTCAAACATACCTCTTTCGCTTCTTCCACATTCATCAATCTTGTCATAAACAGTATATTGTTCAAAAGTAATCCTTAAATCCTTAAATCCATAAATGTGAAAATAAGCTTGTTCATTATCTCTTACTCTCTTAATAGCTCAGTGGAGGTATTTAAAATATTAAATGTTTGGTTACCCCCATTTGATTCATAAAAATCAAAACGTCCTATAAACCCAATTTTTCCATATTAAAGTGTTTTTTATTACTGAATGATAATGGAATGGTAACTCCGCCTGCGTTAACGGTATCCACTGGCAGGGCACCAGTGAGGGATGATAGGTAAAAATGAAAAGGCAAGTCAGTTAGCCCATCGTAATGAATATGCTTGGAATTCAGTACGATGGTTTCCAGGGGAGGACTACGGTGAGGTCGACCTGATAGGGTTGCTAGTAAGGGGCCCTTAGATTCCATTACTAACAATCCCTTCCCCCCCCCCCTTATTAGAGTGTCATGTCACTGTCTTTTAAAGTGAGAAATTAACGCAAAAGAAAAACAAAACACTTCATTAGTTAAAATAGGGTCATAAAAGGTTTACCTTTCAATAAGAGAGTTAGTATTTGAAATGGTTAAGAAAATGTGTTATTTTTAAACTTGATTATTTCCAATAATCAAAATTCCCAGCCGCACGCATCAAACACTAGCCCTTTTATTATAAACATGGTAAAGTTTGTAACGATGTATAAAGGAATGTTTATTACTCTTTCACGCGAAAACTACTAAAAGGTATTGAAAAAAATTTGGTACACAGATAAGTTATGTCCTATGTTAGTACCACAGGATACTTTGTATATTGATTCATGCGTGTGAAGCCGCGGGATATGGCTAGTAAAGAATAAATGTTTATTTTTTAACTACTTATTTTTTATTGTTTACATAATTATATTTATACAAATAGACATACGTGTTTATAAATACTCTTTGTAAATCCTCAAACTCTGCTGTAAGGGTAAAGATGAATCCCCTTAATAATATATTTTTACGTCGTATATTTCTGAATATATTTAAGATTGTATTTTACAAAAAACCCACCTTTAATTCTGACAAAACCAGTTATTTTAATTCAAAAACTAAACTACTGAACCGATTTTAATAAAATTTCTATAGGACTAGTCTGTAAGTATATCGTTTCAGATAAAAAAAGAATTTTCCAAATCGGTTCACCATTGACGGAGTTATGAGGTGACAAACATTGAAAATACAACCGAATCGAGTACCTCCTTCTTTTTCAAGTCGGTTAAAATTAAAACAGGTTATAACGGTGCATATGTTTCAGGTGCCGCCTGAAGAAATACGACGAAGATCTGCCGCAGACGAGCGTCATCATTACATTCCACAACGAAGCGAGATCCACACTCCTGCGCACGATTGTCAGGTACTGGATTATACTCGTATCAGCCTTTTCCAAAGTGGGCGCTGCAGACCTAAAGTAAGTGGGTAAGAGACCCAGAAAAAAAATGGGAACATTGTATAGAGGTTTGAGGGGGGGGGGGGTTGGGTGATTTATTGATGTTGAAGTAATAGCGATTTTTAAGTAGGTGAAAAATGGGGGCGCTAAAAAATAATTTATTAAATAGATAAAATAAGTTTGGGAACCCCTGTCTTACATCAATAAATAAGGGGGAAGGGTTTTGTTAGGAACGAGGACTAGCGGCCTCATTAATAGCTATATACCCGTCAAGTCGACCCTCACGCAATCTTTCCTGTAACAGTGGTAAATTGTAGAATCGAATTCGTTACGATGATCCAACTGATTTGACTGCATCTTCACCTGTCATCACTCACTGATACTCCATCCGTGTATAACGATAAAAAAGTCTAAATTCTCATGCTATTTCTATCCCATTAAACACATACATACATATATATAGGTTTTGCTATGTAACTTGAAATTGCAAAGAAGCATACAGCCTACCCGATAGAAAGTGGCAACCGTTTACCATAAACTTGAACAGTACTCTGGATGTCACAGAATACTCGACGACGCCCATGGTATCACTCCAGCATCGACATTCCTGAGGTCTAAAGAGTTAAATACCCTATTATTTCACAAAAAAAAAAAATAGTTATGAGTGATTCTATTACAACTGCAATATTTATTTTGTCTTATAATTTTTGCATCTTTTTAATGCATAAAAACTTATTGTATTTATTAAATATTTAAATATAAATATGTCAAAATAATTTGTGTGCAAAAGTATATAGAATATTAATAAAAAATATGAGCTAATTAAATGTCAAATTAGCTGACAAAAGTGGACCCGATATATATATATATATATATATATATATATATATATATATATATATATATATATATATATATAAGCTACATTATACTGCAAAAAGAAATATCAGGCAAATTGAAAATCTTTTTCTTTTTGTATCGCTTAAAAACGATTAGATAAACAATGTCATGTTCTCCTATTACATGGTCCAGTTTTCAAATATTTCGCAAAATATCTATGTCTAGGTGTAGGTATCATCTCACGGCCGCTTTCACTGCCTCCCATTACAGTTCAATCCCACAAATACCATTCTGTAACAATGCATTGTTAGGCAATTTGTGCTTTCTTTTGTTTATGTAAGCTTTTTATACATTATAACATATTATTGCGTTGTGTTTTTGATAAGATCTACACGATAACGTGTGAAGTTAAAGTCGTATGTTCTATATGTGTTATTATTCAGTGATTTATTCAAGTATTTGACTCTGCAAAATAGACACACTTTATAAAGGCACATATAATTATTAGACGTAAGAAACAGTGTGATTAGAGAGAAGTGTGGACTGATAGACGATGTAGTGACAAAAATTGAAAAAGGAATTTTGCGTTGGTTTGGTCATTTGGAGAGGATGAATGAAAGAAGAATTACGAAAGAGATTTATCGAGCAAGAATGAATGGAGATGTCGGTAGGGGCCGCCCTAGACGGACGTATGTTGACCAAATAGGCGACGTGCTGAAGAAGGGCCAAATTGAAAGTACCCGTAACCGGCGAGCGTGTATGAAAAGATTGATGAATGTGGAAGAAGCGAAAGAGGTTTGTTTGGTTCGAAGCATTTGGCGTTCCATTGTTTCTGCCTACCCTAATGGGAGACAGGCGTAACAGATATGTATGTATGTATGTATGTATATAATTATTAGCTAGCACCATTTGTGAGAAACTATCAAAATCTTCCCCAAATAAACTTAGTGATGCGGTCCAGTTTTTAACCACAATTACGAGTATGACCCAAAGTAAGAAATTACAAATTGTCCTACCAATAACAATTACTATAATAGATGTCTATTGAGTATTATAAATGCAACAAAGGTTGTTTTATATAGTGTACGGAACCCTCGGCGTGTGAGTTAAACTCACATCTGACCGGTGTTTTATTTATTGTCTAAGTCCAGTTTCAAAATAAATTTACAAAAATTCTTAATTGAAAGGCAAAAGTTAAACATTCCAGCAAATTACCTCTATGTTCCATTTGTCTGCTAGATAAGCTGTCATATCTGTCTGTTTACTGTATATTTGTCTATTTGTTGTACGGATAGTCTGGTGGTATTGTTTTATCGTTACTCTATTCCCTTTGGCCGCAACAGAATGTCAGTGCTTTGCTCTTTTGAGGGCAAAGCAATAAACTGAGTTGTGGCCATTTTGTATTGTTATGGCACACGCACATACGAAAAATTGTATTTGGCTTTATGATTTTTTTTAATAATTTATGTTATTTCGCTTTTTATATATATTAGTATATGTTGTAATTTGTGTGCTGTAAGTAATGCAAATAAATTATATATCTATCTATCTATTGTAGTTGAGTCCGTATTGGGAACTATTATAACACTAGTATGTTGTTGTACAGCGTCCTGAACAGAAGTCCGGAGCACCTCATCAAGGAAATAATCCTCGTCGATGACTACAGTGACAATCGTAAGTGCATTCACACCAACTGTATGCACATTAACTTCATTTATGCACACATATGCATGCATCTCATTTTGTAGAATAGGCTAAAAGAACTTACGAGCCAAAAGCTTTGTTCTTACATATATGACTGTTAGATCCAACTATTTATTTATTAGTTTTTTTTTTTAAACAGAACTAGCTGTATCCCATAGCTGTGTCTGCTTATGTAATTTATAATTTAACATTGTTTGCCGACTGCTTTAACCATGCTGTGTGTACGCCTGTCTGGGTCTCAATCTAGTTCATACTATTGTCTGTCTATAAATGTTTGTAATATTATTGATTGTGTTGTTATATGTAAATACATTTTAAACAAAATAAAAATAAGTATATCCATACATAAAATATCTTATTTGTTAAGTTACGATATAACCTACCCATAGTATACCAAATTACATCCAAATCTGTTCAATAGTTTTTAAATAACATCCATCCATCTATTTATCGTCACATTGTTTTCTGTATTTATTATATTAATAGTATTAGCTATCCACCAGGCTTTACACGGTTTCTATGAAAATAAAATACAGGCTGTATAACCCTCGTTTAGTAGCTTTTTATATGTACGTATCTTTTTTTAAATAAAACACTGATATTATGTATGTTTATAAACCAAATGATAATAAGACATAGCGCTCATACACACAAAAATGTTTACGAAATCTTTCTAACTGTATCTAGCTATTTTTTGTCATTTACCAACCATTGTTTATAAATATTCATTTGGTCGCGGCGCGGCTTCAAGGTCTTTCTTCCCACTGATACCGAGATTATGAAATGAGCAGAATAAGGGGATGGGATTGTTACCAATGGGAATTCATAATACCAATGATGAGTTTCTTGCGGACTCTTCTCAACAGATTGATAACTTTCTGAACCCTGCAGTAGATAAAAAAAAATTTTTGAGAGTGTACAAGCCTTTTCGAATAAAAAATATTTGAATTTAATAATAACAGCCCTATCTCATCAATCTCCACGCAGTCCCCATGGAAATCGATCCCTACTGAATTTGTCACGATGGATCAATTGAAAACGACTACATAGGTACCTCTGTACGGAGATAGAGTATCATAATTCTCAAAAATGGCAATGACCACGCTGTTCATGTCTATAGGCGACGTATACCACTTTCCTTCAGGTGGACCGTCAGCTTATTTGACATTACAAGTATCATAAAAAAGAAAATATATCCATCAGCGGAAGATGGAGCTTCACTGCGGGCTATTCGCAAAGTACGCGTGATCAGGAACTCCAAACGCGAGGGTCTGATGAGGAGCCGCGTGAGAGGAGCGGACGCGGCCACCGCGCCAGTACTCACCTTCTTGGACTCGCACGTGGAGTGCAACGTCCACTGGCTGGAGCCTCTGCTGCAGAGAATCAAGGAGGTACGTCTCTATCACTTTTTTTAGAAGTCACACAATCACATTATAAAGTCTTACCGGGGTTACCATTCCATCATCATAAAAAAAACATAAGCCTGCCTCATAAACTGCTACAAAAATTGGTCATTGGCAACCTGCATCCACATTCGAGGTCATCACGACATCCTGCCTGTACCCAGATTATGTAGGATTCTGAATGCTCACAGCGATCAAATTGACATCAATTTTGGATCCATCAACAGCAGATATAATTTATTAAGGAAAATCTTAGACATAAGTTCTTAATCTACTTATTATTCAGATAATTTTATTGTCATTGTTAATAATTTATTATATATTATACTAGTGCATGTGGTGTTCGCCTGTAAATGACTTTTACATTAGGCAAAATTATTTTTTGTTTTATTACGTTGCATGTAAAATGTAAAAGTTGTATGTGAACCTTATTAAATAAATAAATAAATATATCCTGAATATGAGAAGAAATAGTAACACTTATTATATTTTTACAACGTCATCACCATACCATATGTAGTAATTCCATAACAAAATTCAAATAAATTTATCGCCTTTTAAATTTTTCATGTACAATGTAATGTTATCAGTGGTACATAATATATTGGTTATACATATAATAATTTATTATTATCGCTCAAAAATTGTCAACTTTCATTTATAGTTGTCATTAAAATAGTCATATCTATGGAATAGTAACACTTTTTTTTGATGGGTGAAAATGGAATGGTAACCCCGCCTGCGCTAACAGGATACGCTGGCGGAGCACCAGTGAAGGGTGATTGATAAGAATGAAAACAGGCCAGTTAGCACATCATGATGAATTCATCAGGAATTAACCATGATAGTTTCCAGGGGGAACCGCGAGGAGGTCGACCTGGTTGAGTATATTGCTAGCAATGGGATTCTCAGTCTCCATTACTAACAATCTCTTTCCCCCCAGTAACACTTATTCATTATAAACAAACATTCTTGAATTGCTCTCGGAACTTATGTAATGATGTATCACTCCGCCACCATGATTAACATAATAATCAATGGTGTAATTTAATGACGTTTCTATATCATAACTCTTCTATATTACTCCGGAGGCAGCCGTCACTCACCGTGTCATTCAAAATACATTAATGTGAATATTAACACATGCGATGTCAGCTCTTCGACTATAACGTATTAAGTAATGATACCGCTAGAAATAGACGTCAAGTTATTTTTATTACCGTTTCCGAGTAGGTGAACTGATTTTGTTAAAGGCAGTATATTATTTCTTCAAATAAACTTAATTTTGAACGCTTCTGAATGGGCATTTTTTGCTGATTCCTACTCGCTATCAGAAAAGCTTCAATTGAAGAGAAAACATAAAAAAACTACTGTTGCTCTTTTCAAATAAAAGTAGAAATTTACGAGTTTAATTTAACCTATAATTAGACTTAATAGACCACATCACTGTAATCGAACTCGTTCGCGAGTATGACGGATGAGCCGGCAATCATTACATCAAAATATGGATTTAAGAAAATTCATTAATTGCATGATAGTCGCGATTAAATTTTAGTTTTCATTCATCGCCATCACCATCATATCTCTCCCTCCCCTTGGGGGGTAAAAAGAATTGCCACGCGTGGCAAATAGGATTGGTAGCCGCAGTTAAAAAAATAGATCTAGACATATGTAAATGAGCACAAACGTATCAACCATAAATATATAATATATAATATATATATATATATATATATATATGTATTTATATATATATATATATATATATATATATATATATATATATATATATATATATATATATATATATATATATACAGAAAGCGGTTTTATCTCTAAGCATTAAAACTTCCAGACAACCTTTGAGTAAAAAAAATTAATGAATAAATAGGTAGGTGGCGCGTTATCATATATATATATTGATCTAGACACACACACACACACACACACACACACACACACACACACACATATATATATATATATATATATATATATATATATATATATATATATATATATATATATATATATATATATATATATATATATATATATATATAATATTAACATTATATAAGGACTAATATTATAAGGATAAATGTGATTTAAATGCAGTTTATAAAAATAACCAGAGATTGAGTGTACCGTATAGACGCATAATATATATATATGTAAATACTACAACAAAATGTCAAATATTATTCTTGTTATTTTTATTTATTGGTTAACCTTTATAATATAGGCAAGGCATAATATTTATTTACAATAAATGTGATGGAAATGCAAATATACTACACTGGTTAAATACACTACACATTCAACCAGTTTTGGCGTACAAAATTAAAATATTAACACATAATATTTTAATTTCTTATCCATTTAACAAACGTTAACTAAGCTGAGTTTCGGTAATTCCTATTGGAATTGTATGTTTATATAGTTGATGTGAAAAGAAATCTTATTACAACTGTAATATAACATTTTTTTTATCTTTTTTATTTAGAGGCTCTTATCCCATGGAATATATTTCCAAAATAACTCATCATATTAATCTTAAAAATACCTGATGCTTAAAACATTGATACATAAATAAATAATACACAATATCTCAATAGTCCATTATCATAAAGGGAATTATTGATACAAAAATATAGTAATTAAAGATTTTGCCATTCCGGAATGTGGCTCTGCGAGTATATTTGAAAATAAACCAATCTCCTGTCTATTGAGACTATATTTGTATCAATACTTCCCATTTGTGTTTTGTATTTCGTGCATTCAATACCATATTTTATGTAGAACATCATCCAATGTGTTACAAACATCTGTAATATAACATAAAATACGCAAAAGTTGCTAGTTGTTCCGACTCGCGTATTTGTAAACATGTACCTATTTATGTTGCCAAGTATAATAATAATAACTGGCAACATAAATAAATAAGTGTTTCTATATAGGGAGAGCTGAATGAAACCATAATGGTAAAGTTCAATGGCATTTACTAGAAAATAAATGTTGAAATAAATTATTTACTTTACACACATAAACGTACATTAGTTTAACCCACAGATCATATAATACTGTGTAGTTATATATATATTAAATATATATTAATATATATATATATATATATATATATATATATATATATATATATATATATATATATATATATATATATACTTTCGGTTTGAAAAATGGGACTATATAAAATAAATATAAAGAAAAAATAGAGGAATAACATCTGATTGACGTCAGGAATGGCAACACATGCCTATTCATGATATTAATAAATTAAATAAATATTACTGGCACTAAGTTCTCTAACAAATTTATAAAAAAAAAAAAAAGCTAAAGATAGGTACAGACTTCGACCACTTTCCATCAGGTATGCGATAGCCGTCAGCTTCTTTGCCATTCTCGGACGTTGTATAAAATATTAAAAAAGTATTAACATATAAAAATAGTGTCACTAAGTTTATTCACAATTGCTCAGCTGATTTTGTAAATGTACATTTTTTGCTCAACTTCTTTTAAGTACAACATATTTAGGATATATTAAGGCAGCTATTATCCCGTTAAGAAATATTTTAAGAAGTGATTCCACAAATAAAACTGGCTTCAGTTATGGCAATACAAGTTATTTTGATTTACAAACTAAACTACTGAATCTATTTTAATAAAATTTCTATGGAACCGATTCATAAGAGCATCCTTTCAGATAAAAAAAAATCATTTTCCAAATCGATTTGTAACTTTACGGTTATGAAAACAAACGTAAAGAAAGAAACGAAAAAATATTGTTTATTCAAGTATAAAAATAGATTTGAATAGTCATTTTCTTCGTTAGCCGCACCCCGGCGTATTCAAAAGACAATTTCAGCCAAGAAGAACGGGCAACAGCGTCCCTCTTAAAACATCTCTAAAGCCTGACTGCTTTTTATCGATGAACAGTAAAAATTAACTATATAAATATAATTAGAAAAATATATACATAAAAAGAATATTTATAAAGATACTGACGTCTGCTTGAAATTTATTTATTCTTTTCAGATATTAATAAATTAATATAAATATTACTGGCACTATTCTCTAACAAATTTATATAAAAAAAAAAATGCAGACTGTACGATTAAATATCCTTGCACGAAATAATTCATTATAACACTGTTTTATGTATGCGATAGCGAATGGTTACTCTGCTATCAGCTATACCCGGCGCTCGTCGGACGTGAGAGATTATTATGACAATGACAAGGCATCAGCTAAGGCTTTACTTCAACGACAATGTTAATTGACCTGCAATCCAAAGTACCTATATCAATAAATATCCTTTTATTGCAAATAAAATGTGTTTCCTAAATTTTGTAATGACTGATTAAGTTGGCAAAGTTAAAGTGTCAAGAGGTAATAAACAAACAAAAAACTGACTTTCACGTATACAATATTAAATTTTCCTCCTCTAACCAAATGTCTTCTCACTCTGCAAGCATATATAATTGAAGAAATTTTATAAAAAAATCTAGCTAGAGAGAGATTTCGTTCAAAAGTCGTTTGCTTGGGTACCTCTGCCCCATTCGTGTTTTTACCGTGAAGTAGTTATATTTGCATGACTGTTTCGGTTTGAAGGATGAGATATGGCAATGAATTTACAGGGTATAAAGGCACAACAACTTAGTCCTCAGGAATAGCAACGCAAGGGAGATATCGTGGGCGAAACAGTATATACTCTGTTATGTCCATGGTACTGCTCATATCTACTGCGACGGTTACCATTTTCCATGAGACAGGCCGTCAGCTTGTTTGCCATTCTAAATTGCAAAAAAATGCTGCAAACAAAATAAAATTTATTTGACGCCAAATAAAATTCTTGAATTAAAACCGTTTTACTTTATAAAGTTAAAAACTGCGTTACAAAAACCATCTTATGCGTCATCCGGATATTTATGGCAAAATATGTATATTTTAAATGACATAAAAAAAGA